ACGGATATACAAATTGTAGATGCATACAGGACACCGAGCACACAAAATCACAGTAGACCAACGCCAAGACACATTGTTATGAAGATATCCAATATACAGAACAAAGAGAAAATACTAAAAGCTACAAGAGAAAGGAGGCAGATTACATTCAGGGGTAAACCAATAAGGTTAACAACGGATTTTTTATCACAGACGCTGAAAGTGAGAAGATCCTGGAACAACGTATTTCAAACACTGAAAGACAATGGATGCCAACCAAGAATTCTGTATCCAGCAAAATTAAGCTTCAGGTACGATAACGAAATAAAAATCTTTCATGATAAACAAAAGCTAAAAGAATTTGCAGCCAGAAAACCAGCATTGCAAAGCATCTTGAGCAAAACACTACACGAGGAAGAAATGAAAAACAATAACCAAAACCATCAGTGGGAAGTGCCTCTATAAAGACAGAGGGCGGGGGGAAAGCTAACCATGGAGAAACAAACTAAATTTAAAAAAAAATAGATAAATAATCAAACATGGCTGGAAGTACAAACCATATATCAATAGTAACTCTAAACATTAATGGCTTAAACTCTCCAATAAAGCGACATAGGCTGGTAACATGGATTAAAAAAACAAATCCAACAATATGCTGCCTCCAGGAGACACATCTGATTGGAAAAGACATACACAGGCTGAAGGTGAAAGGTTGGGAAAAAATATACCATGCACACGGTCCTCGTAAGCAAGCAGGGGTGGCCATCCTCATATCGAATAAAATTGACTTCAAGACTAAATTAATCAAAAGGAAGGACATTATATACTGTTAAAAGGAACCATTCACCAACAAGACATAACAATTATCAATATTTATGCACCAAATAATGGTGCTGCGACGTTCATAAAACAAATTCTCCTCAAGTTCAAGAATCAAATAGACCACAACACAATAATTATGGGTGACTTCAACACACCTCTCTCACAATTGGACAGATCCTCCAAACAAAAGCTGAATAAAGAAACTATAGAACTCAATATCACAATCAACAACCTAGATTTAACTGACATATATAGAATATATCAACCATCATCAAGTGGATATACTTTTTTCTCAGCAGCACATGGATCCTCCTCAAAAATAGACCATATATTATGCCATAGGGCAACCCTCAGTAAATATACAGGGGTGGAGATAATACCATGCATTTTATCTGATCATAATGGAATGAAACTGGAAATCAATGATAAAAGACGGAAGGAAAAATCCTACATCACATGGAAAATGAACAATATGTTACTGAATGATCAATGGGTTACAGAAGACATAAAGGAAGAAATCAAAAAATTCTTAGAGATAAATGAAAATACAGACACAACATATCGGAATCTATGGGACACAATGAAAGCAGTTTTAAGAGGGAAATTCATCGCTTGGAGGTCATTCCTCAAAAAAAGGAAAAACCAACAAATAAATGAGCTCACACTTCATCTCAAAGCCCTAGAAAAGGAAGAGCAAAACAACAGCAAATGTAGCAGAAGGCAAGAAATAATTAAAATCAGAGCGGAAATCAATGAAATTGAAACAAAAGAAACTATTGAAAAAATTAACAAAACTAAAAGTTGGTTCTTTGAAAAAATAAAAAGATCGACAGACCCTTAGCCATGCTAACGAAGAGAAGAAGAGAGAGAACTCAAATCACTAACATACGGGATGAAAAAGGCAATATCACAACAGACACTACAGAAATACAGAAGACAATTAGAAATTATTTTGAAAACTTATATTCCAATAAAATAGAAGATAGTGAAGACATTGATAAATTCCTTAAGTCATATGATTTGCCCAGACTGAGTCAGGAGGATACTCACAACTTAAACAGACCAATAACAATAGATGAAATAGAAGAAGCAATCAAAAGACTTCCAACCAAGAAAAGCCCAGGACCGGATGGGTATACAGCGGAGTTTTACAAAACCTTTAAGGAAGAATTAATACCAATACTTTTCAAGTTATTTCAGGAAATAGAAAAAGAAGGAGCTCTGCCAAATTCATTCTATGAGGCCAACATCACCCTGATTCCGAAACCAGACAAAGACACCTCAAAGAAAGAAAACTACAGACCAATATCTCTGATGAACATAGATGCAAAAATCCTCAATAAAATTCTGGCGAATCGGATACAAAGGCACATCAAAAAAATTGTGCACCATGATCAAGTAGGATTCATCCCTGGGATGCAAGGATGGTTCAATATACGGAAATCAATAAATGTTATTCACCACATCAACAGACTTAAAAATAAGAACCATATGATCATCTCAATAGACGCAGAAAAAGCATTCGACAAAGTACAGCATCCCTTTATGTTCAAAACATTAGAAAAACTAGGGATAACAGGAACTTACCTCGACATTGTAAAAGCTATCTATGCTAAGCCTCAGGCTAGCATCATTCTCAATGGAGAAAAATTGAAGGCATTCCCCCTAAAATCTGGAACAAGACAGGGATGCCCTCTATCACCACTTCTATTCAATATAGTTCTCGAAACACTGGCCAGAGCAATTAGACAGACGAAAGAAATTAAAGGCATAAAAATAGGAAAGGAAGAACTTAAATTATCACTATTTGCAGATGACATGATTCTATACCTAGAAGACCCAAAAGGGTCTACAAAAAAACTACTAGAACTAATAAATGAATTCAGCAAAGTGGCAGGATATAAAATCAACACGCATAAATCAAAGGCATTTCTGTATATCAGCGACAAAACTTCTGAAACGGAAATGAGGAAAAACACTCCATTCACAATATCCTCAAAAAAAAAAAAAATACTTGGGAATCAACCTAACAAAAGAGGTGAAAGATTTATATAATGAAAACTACAAAACCCTAAAAAGAGAAGTAGAAGAAGATCTTAGAAGATGGAAAAATATACCCTGTTCATGGATAGGCAGAACTAACATCATCAAAATGGCGATATTACCAAAAGTTCTCTATAGGTTTAATGCAATGCCAATCAAAATCCCAACGGCATTTCTTGTAGAAATGGATAAAGCAATCATGAAATTCATATGGAAAAATAAAAGACCCAGAATAGCAAAAGCAATTCTAAGCAGGAAGTGCGAATCAGGCGGTATAGCGATACCAGACTTAAAACTATATTACAGAGCAATAGTAACAAAAACAGCATGGTACTGGTACCAAAACAGGAGGGTGGACCAATGGTACAGAATAGAGGACACAGAGACTAATCCACAAAGCTACAACTATCTTATATTTGATAAAGGAGCTAAAAGCATGCAATGGAGGGAGGATAGCATCTTCAACAAATGGTGTTGGGAAAACTGGAAATCCATATGCAACAAAATGAAACTGAATCCCCTCCTCTCGCCATGCACAAAAGTTAACTCAAAGTGGATCAAGGAGCTTGATATCAAATCAGAGACTCTGCGTCTGATAGAAGAAAAAGTTGGCTCCGATCTACATATTGTAGGGTCGGGCTCCAAATTCCTTAATAGGACACCCATAGCACAAAAGTTGATAACAAAAATCAATAAATGGGACTTACTTAAACTGAAAAGTTTTTTCTCAGCAAGAGAAACAATAAGAGAGGTAAATAGGGAGCCTACATCCTGGGAACAAATTTTTACTCCTCACACTTCAGATAGAGCCCTAATATCCAGAGTATACAAAGAACTCAAAAAATTAAACAATAAGAAAACAAATAACCCAATCAACAAATGGGCCAAGGACCTGAACAGACACTTCTCAGAGGAGGACATACAATCAATCAACAAGTACATGAAAAAATGCTCACCATCTCTAGCTGTCAGAGAAATGCAAATCAAAACCACCCTAAGATACCATCTCACTCCAGTAAGATTGGCAGCCATTATGAAGTCAAACAACAACAAGTGCTGGAGAGGATGTGGGGAAAAGGGTACTCTTATACATTGCTGGTGGGACTGCAAACTGGTGCGGCCAATCTGGAAAACAGTATGGAGACTCCTGGGAAAGCTCGGAATGGAACCACCATTTGACCCAGCTATTGCCCTTCTTGGACTTTTCCCTGAAGACCTTAAAAGAGCGTACTACAGGGATACTGCTACATCGATGTTCATAGCAGCACAATTCACAATTGCTAGACTGTGGAACCAACCCAGATGCCCTTCAATAGATGAATGGATAAAAAAAATGTGGCATTTATACACCATGGAGTATTACGCAGCACTAAAAAATGACAAAATCATAGAATTTGCAGGGAAATGGATGGCACTAGAGCAGATTATGCTTAGTGAAGCTAGCCAATCCCTAAAAAACAAATACCAAATGTCTTCTTTGATATAATGAGAGCAACTAAGAACAGAGCAGGGAGGAAGAGCAGGAAGAAAAGATTAACATTAAACAGATACATGAGGTGGGATGGAAAGGGAGAGAAAAGGGAAATTGCATGGTAATGGAGGGAGACCCTCATTGTTATACAAAATTACATATAAGAGGTTGTGAGGGGAATGGGAAAATAAACAAGGAGAGATATGAATTACAGTGGATGGGGTAGAGAGAGAAGATGGGAGGGGAGGGAGGGGGGATGGTAGAGGATAGGAAAGGTAGCAGAATACAACAGTTACTAATAGGGCATTATGTAAAAATGTGGATGTGTAACCGATGTGATTCTGCAATCTGTATTTGGGGTAAAATTGGGAGTTCATAACCAACTTGAATCTAATGTATGAAATATGATATGTCAAGAGCTTTATAATGTTTTGAACAACCAATAAAAAAAATTAAAAAAAAAAAAAAGAAAAGAAAAGACTCCCATGTATCAACAGGGTCTGGAGAGGGAAAAGCCAATTTGTGAAGATACTGGAATTGAGAAAGGGCAGTAGAAGTCTGCTAGTATCCTAGAGCCTGGCATTTAGAATATTTAAAAAAAAGTACTGTGGTAGAAGTCAAGTCACAATCTCAGACATTGTCTCAGTCCATTGTGTGCTGCTATGACAGAATAGCAGAGACCAGGTAATTTGTAAATACTAGAAGTTTATTATGGTCATGATTCTGAAGGCTGGGAAGTCCAAGATCGAGGGGCTTCATGTGGTGAGAGCCTTCTTGCTGTGTCCTAACACTGTAGAAGATATCACCTGCAAAACAGTAAGAAGAAGCCAAACTCACTTTGAGAACACACCCACTCTTAGAGGAATGACATTAATACATTCATGATGCCAGAGTCCTCACAACCTAATCTTTTTTTCCTGGGTAGGGGTACCAGGGATTGAACTCAGGGGCACTCGACCACTGAGCCACACCCCCAGCCCTGTTTTCTATTTTATTTAGACACGGGGTCTCACTGAGTTGCTTAGCATCTCACCATTGCTGAAGCTGGCTTTGAACTCATGATCCTCCTGTCTCAGCCTCTTGAGCTGCTGCCATTACAGGTGTGCGCCACTGCACCCGGCTCATGATCTAATCTTAATCTCTTCCTTTAAGTCTCTACTTATCAACACTGATGCATTGGGGATTAAGATTTCAGTACATAAACTCTGAGGGATACATTCAAACCATAGCGTTTCACCCCAGCCCCCACCCCCCAATTTATGTTCTTCTCACATGCAAAATGTGTTCATTTTATTCCACTAACACCCAAAGTCTCAACTCGTTCCTGTGCCATTTGAAAAGTCCAAAGTCAACTACACATCCTGAGGCAAATTCTCCTCTAGTTAGGAAATCAAAACATGTGTTTCCCTTTTAATTATAGATTTAAATCATTTATCTCCTCTTTTATTTTACTGTAAGCAGCCAAAAGAAGACATACACATTTGGATACTTTACTGCTTAGATATTTCTTATGCTAAATATTCTAGTTCACTGCTTTAAAATTCTGCCTTCCCTAAAGCCCTAGGATACAGACACAGTTTCATCAAGTTTTTTGCAAGTGTGTCACAAGGATGGCCTTTACTCTAGTTTTCAATTCCTTGCTCCTCAGTTCCACCTGAGACCTCATCAAAATGTCACTCACTGTCAACATTTTTGCCAGTATTCTCATCATAACCACTCACAGAGTCTCCACATTGCTGACTTTCCCTCAAGTTCTTTACTTTTGAATTGCTCTTAATTTTCCATTGGTGGAAGTGTAGGCTCTTTCTAGCCTGCAAATTCTTCCAACCTCTAGCTGTTATCCAGTTCCAAAGCCGCTGCCATATTTTCAGGTATTCGCTATACAAACAGCCCTACTTCTTAAGACCAGGTTTCTGCCTTAGTCTATTTTGTGATGTTATAAAAGAATGCCACAGAATCGGGTAAATTATCAATAATAGCAGTGTATTTTGCTCATGGTCCTGGAGGGTGGGAAGTCCCAGATCAAGAGGTCACATCTGGGGAGGACATTTTTGCTGCATTATAAGATGGCTGAAGGCATCAATGGTGGGCAAGCAACAGAAGAGAGATCAAGAGGGGGACAAACCCACATTTATAACAAAGCCCACTCTTGCATTAGTGACATTGATTCATCCGTGAGGTCAGATCCCTGGAGACCACATCACCTCAAAGAGGTGTGTCAATGGCACCTGAAAAGTGACAGATTTGTGAAGATTCCAGAGTTGAGAAGCAGAAGTAAAGTCTGCCAACAGCCTGCAGGCTGGCATTTAGAGTCTGAAAAAGCTACTTGGGTAGAAAGGTCAGTCATAATCTCAGGTGGCTACTGATTTTTCTCCGTGTTGGAGGAAATGTTACGGAGTGAGAAACAGAGACAAAATAACCACTCTGTCAAAAAGAGACAATCTATAATCTGCGAGGGAGAAAAAAAAATACACATTGGACCCCCAGTCTCCTAAGGAGAATCTGGTTTCTCTCCTTTTGTTTCCTGTCAAAACCACTGAACCTTAGGAAATAGACTCCCTTCTTCTTTCTCCCCCCATCATCCCCTGAAACTTGAATCCTGCCATGCCCACTTTACGAAAATTGCTCTTTCAAAGGTCACCAATGAAATTTTTATTGCAAAATCCAGCATCCCTTCTACTTAGATCTCTCTCTTGCACTTAATGGCACAGGACACTGCTTCCTGGAAACTCGTGCACACACTCCTTCTTCTCCAGCCAAGCCTCAACTCTTCCCCTGCCTCCAATCAATGAATGCAAATGTCCTCTCAGATCAGTGTGTGGACTTCTGACCTTTTCCGTCCTCTTTTTCCACTGAAAGAGATAATCTATGATTTCATCATCACCTAAATGCTGATTCCCCTGAAACCTATATTTCTAATCCCAAGTGGCCGTCACCTAGTTCACATTCTCCACTGGCCTTTTATCTTTTCTTCCCCTATGGGCAGGTCATGTTATTATTTTAAATTCCAAATTTGGGGAATCAGACTTATCACCTATCCTCCATCTCCTCCACATTAACTCCCTCACTGTGATCCTAACTGCAACAGGAGCGCCATACTTTCTAAAATGATATGTGCTGTGGTTTCGGCAAGCCCCCAGATTGCCTGTTTTGGAAACTTAATCCCCAAAGTCACACTCAGTGTTGAGACATGGCACCTTTAGGAGGTGACTGGTCACTCATGGGTTAATGGATTAAAAGCTTACCTTGGAAGTCGCTTTGTTATAAAAGCAGGCTGTCTCTGGCATGCTTGCTGTATCTCACTCCATGATTTCTTTTCCATGTTATCATGTGAAATAAAGGCTATCATCTGATGTTGGTGCCATACAGACTTCCCAGCCTCCAGAAATGTAAGATAAATAAATTTTTATTCTTTATAAATTAGCCAGTCTATGGCAATCAGTTATAGCAACAGAGAATGGATTAAGTTAATATGCAATAAAAAATCTGGAGTAAAGCTTAATTGGGTTCTATATTCAACATATTTTTATTTTTAAATTCTCAGTTTTTCTTTCTTTTTTTTTCCTTTTCCACAAGACTCTTTCATCAGAATGAAATTGTGTAGCTTTGATTTTGTACAACTACACACCAGGGTAATAATCATTATTCTGAATTCTTCCAGTGCCTCTACATGCTTGTAAGTAAACTTAAGCTAACAGAACATACAGCAAATATCAAACTCAATTGTATGCCATCTAACTGAACCAGGATAACCCTGCTTGAGACACACAGGTGGCCCTGCTTCTCCTCAGCATCCTATCTATCATCTTTCCTCTCTTACACTCAAGCCTTCTGGAGCCATTAGACAGGCACCCACCTGTATCTGCATGTTCACGGGCAGGAAAGCACCCAGGAGCATTGTGGCAATAGCAGGTATTGGTTCACCTTGAGAACACCACTCAGTCCTGAAGACCCAGGATTTATTTTCCTATATCCTGACTTTCTGTATAGACAGAGTCCTTGGTTTCCAATTTGATGACGGCCAGAGCACAGTCAATTCCCTTACAAAGCCTGAAAAACATATTCCAGAGAAGGAACGAGTCGGGCCCCATTTTTCCTCCCTCTTTCCCATTCTACTATGCATGAGCTTTTTAACCAAGATCACTTCTTCACAGTGTCTGAACACATTTTCATGGTCAACTATAAGCCCTGGCACTTGGCCCCAATGGCAGTACAAATCCCCTTACCTTTAGTCTCTCCAGGATCATCCCTCATTCCCCAGTCCAGCTCCATGGACTCAGCTCCTAGTAAAAAAAAAAAAAAAAAAAAAAAAGGATTTTCTTTTATATTAATATCCAAACCATTTTTTGTTGACAGAATGATAATTTGTTAATTTATGATGAAAACTAGAAGCAGCTGGTGAACCCTATTCTGTGAATTTTATGACACTCATTAATCAACATCTGGGACCAGGAATTATATATTCCCAGGGTTCACAGTGAAGGTTACCTCCCCGTTCCTATTTGTAGTGTCACCTGCTCATAGTACTCCATTCTCTCTTAGTTTGCATTGCTCCTAAGCTGTTGCACGTAAGAAGTCCTTGCCCTACTTGTGCCCTTTGATTGCACAAACATATGGAAGGCTCATTTCACATGTTTAAAAAAAAATCAAATGAGTGATCTAAATATGAATAAGACCAAGTAACCATCTTGTCTAGAGGGGATAAGAGATAAATATGCTAAAATATTTTCAATTCCAGGCAGACATTGGTAATAGACCAAAAAAAAAAGGCTTTAAAATGATAATAGTAGCCAACTAGATAATGTTCTGTACACTTTATGCATATTATACTTTCTCATCTATCCTTCCCCACAGTACTGTGAGATAGATAGCTCTGTCTTTGTTTTGCAAAGAAAGAATCTAAGGTTCAGAGAGCTTTAGTGAGTTGGACAATAGTCAACCACTAGTGAACAGAAACAGTGGAATCCTACTCCAAGTTCTTTGGTTAAGACTTTATTAGGAGTCCAAAAGAGGCAAAATTTATGTCCTGTTGAGACATCAGAAAAGTCTTTATTTTAGTCAGACTTTCACGGATGTGATTAAAAGGACCCAACCAGAATAACTGTAGAGGAGGAAAAGTTTGAGGGCTCATGGTTTCAGAAGTCTCAATCCATAGATAGCTGGCTTTATTCCTCAGGTCTCAAAGTGAGGCAGAACAACATGGCGGAACAATGTTGCAGAAGGAAGTGGCTCACATGATGATCAGAGAGCAGAGAAAGAGATTCCACTCACCAGATACAAATATATACCCCAAAGTCACGCCCCCAACGTCCCACCTGCCTTCAGTTACCACTCAATTAATCCCATCAGGTGATTAATTCACGGGTTGGGTTAAGGCTCTCCTAAGCCAATCATTTCTTCTCTGCACCTTCTTGCATTAGTGAACTTTGAGGGGCATACCTCACATCCAGACCACAACAGTCTTCATGAAGCAGATTACTCTCAAGATTAATTTTGAAGAACAGTTAGGATTTCAAGAAACAGAGAAGGATAAGTAAGAAATGAAAGAAATAACTAGAAGTACCCAAACCAGGAAAGCAGGGCATCTATGAAGAACAACAATTAGAGGTGTTAGACTGAAGAATAGGATCTGATTTGGAGTTTACAGCCAGGCTGGAGCAAGATTGGAAACAGCATGGGCTTCTAAGCAGGAGGATTAGTATTTAATTCAGGATACAACGAGCTGTGTGTAACTCCAACTCCAAAACCTACCCTTATTGTGCCACAAGTCAGATAAAGCTTCGCAACCATGATTCATCCTAAAAAAAAAAAAAAAAAAAATAGAAGATAATGGAAACTTCCCAGAGATAAGAATAATCTGAACATTGGTAGAGAAAGTTAATTACTGGTGGCAGTTATTGTGCCATTGAAAAGGTTGGTCAGAAGGCTGGAGTGAGCTGAGAGAAGAGAGAATGAATCGGAAGCTAGACAGGAGGGTGAGAAAGAAGATTCCCTACCATTTAGTGAGGAGAGAGAAGAAAAGTAGGATAGGTGGAAAGGAAAAGCCTCAGTTTGATATCTTACAGGCAAAGCAGGTTTGAGCAGCAGCTAATCAGGTGTGGCTGCTTAAGTAGTAGCAGAGAGAATTGGAAAGGAAGGTCATTGGGGTTGTGCAAGAGTCAGTCACCACTGATTCCCCAGTATCCAACTTAGTGCCTGGGAATTAGTAAATAAATGTGCACATTCTCTACTAATGGGGTCATCACCAAAGATCAATTAAATACACACTTAGTGGTGAAAGACTCAAAGAGAAGAACTAGGAGGGATATTGACATCTCTTCAGGTATTATGTCCCCAGAAAAAAGTCCAAATTAGAAATGAGAAAATACAGGAACACAAAAGAAGGGAAAGAGCTAAGTAACAGCTCTGGCAGTCATTTGTGTTTAATAAGTATCGCCCATTGATTTCCCAGCCCAGGGCCTCGCCAATCCTGTTCTGTCAGCAGCTCTGATTGGTCGCACCAAGGAGGAGGGTCTGGAAACCCACACATCATTGGTGCTCGCCAACCCCCATGTTCACCAAAGTGCCCTTAAAGCCTGCGGTCTAAGAGTGGAAGTCTCGAGAGTTCAGTGGACAGCCACCTTTGTCACTGTTGCTGCTGTCACAACCCCAGGCCAAGGACATGGACAAGCTGCTGTTTTGGGTCTCTGTCCTCACCAGCCTCCAGGGAACCTTCGCTCAGACAGGTAGGGAGGTCAGGAGTCGATCAAGGAGACTGGGATGAGAAAAGAAGTTGTATCTGGGATCATTTTTTCCCCCGAGTTCCTGGTGAAAGTCATTATATTTCTGATTTCATTCCCACAGACCTCAGAGGAAAGGTATTTGTGTTCCCTAGAGAATCTTCTTCTGACCATGTGAATCTGATTGCGGAGGTGAAGAAGCCTCTGCAGAACCTCACCTTGTGTTTGCGAGCCTATAGTGACCTTTCCCGGGCCTACAGCCTCTTCTCCTACAATGCTCAGGGTAAGGACAACGAGCTACTGATCTATAAAGAAAAAGCTGGACAGTATAATCTATACATCGGACGGAGCAAAGTCACAGCCAAGGTTGTCGAAGACCCCCTTGCCCCGGTCCACATCTGTACCAGCTGGGAGTCCTCCACAGGCATTGCTGAATTTTGGATCAATGGAAAACCTCTGGTGAAAAAGGGTTTGAAACAGGGATACTCGGTGGAACCTCACCCCAAGATTGTCCTGGGACAGGAGCAAGATTCCTATGGAGGCAGTTTTGATAAGAGCCAGTCCTTTGTGGGCGAGATCGCAGATTTATACTTGTGGAACACGGTGCTGTCCCCAGAAGAGATCCAGCTTGTATATCAAGATTCCCCTCCCAGTCCGAATATCCTGAACTGGAGAGATCTGAACTATGAAGTGAATGGTTATGTTGTCACCAAGCCCCGGGTCTGGTCTGAAATCTTGCTTTAATAAAAACTCTAAGAGATCTGCTCAGACCCTATACCTGTTAACTCTTTCTTCATTGAATTTCCTATCTACGGATTTGTCTAATAAAAAAATATGGTATTATGCCACTTGCATTGCTTTGTTTTTGTTTTTTGTTTTTGGGAGGTTTTTGGGGGGGTTGTTTTATTTGTTTGGTTTATTTTGGGGGGGGTTGTTTTTTGGGTTTTTGTTTTGTTTTGTTTTGTTGTTGTTTTGTTGTTTGGTCACTGCTGTTCCATTGTCCAGAAAAATCAGGTTGTAAAGTAGGGAGAGAAAAAGCTTTAAGTAACTAGGAAGATATTCAACACAAAGCCGGAGCACTTGATGAGCTGCAGTGGGGGTTGGGGTCAGCAGTGGCAACATTTACAAACTACTAATAATTATTTTAATAGCAATTCAAAATAGGTGCAGAATTGGAATCGAAATCTTTCTATTTGTTTTTCCAACTATGAATCAAGAGAAAAGAAGTCTGAGGTTGCGACAGGGAGGCAACTGTAAAGAGATAAGTAAGCAATCGTTGAGAACTTGACAGCGAGTAATGAGCTAGAGGGTGAAAAAACTAGAATCAGAATGAAAACTAAAAATGCATAAGAAACTGGGATCATTTTGTGTAAAGACAAACGTGCCTTTCTGTCTCAAAAACCCCAGGGGTATTGTGCAGGGCTTGCTTTTCATAATGCTGCACTGATATGATCAAAAACAAATTATACTACGAATATTGCTCACATGAATCCTCCGCTTCCAATCCCTTCCACCAATCCCTCCTTCTCACAGAATGTCATTTAAACCTTTAAGGTGACCCTACCCTCCATTGCCAGGGCCACTCACAGTTCTATGTGCATTTCAGGTACAACTCAGCACAAGTAGCAGGCTAATTATAACACTCCAAAATTAATGTCAGATGCTATTAGTAGCAATTATTCTGTGATTATTAAAAGCATGGAGCATAGTGTCTGGCACATTCTCAAAAGATATGAGTTGCCTTCCCAGAGAAGCAAAGACCTTGGAGGGAGTTTGGGCTTCAGATGGGCAAAAAGACAGTCCTTGCCCACACATAATAGAGATGAAGTCAAGGGAAATAAAAAAAAAAAAAAAACTAAATCCAGGACAGCTTCCAAATGATAACCGGTGATTACTTCAAATCCTAAGGCCATTCGTCTGAAATGGACAGAGGCAGGCATCAGACCAAGAAAGTAGGGGACGGTCTAGGATCTCCCAGAATGGGATCAGGACTCACAGGAACAGGTAGAACCTGGAAATATTTGGTATTCAGAACATGAACTTCATTAGACAAGAACTTCAGCAATGTGGGAAATTATTAGTTTCCAATCGCCATCTCATGAGCAAAGGTCTGCTTTATATTCCTTAAAACTAATTACCCTTCTTTCCATAAATGTGCATTGTGAGAACTAGAAAGATCGTCTATTCTTGCATAACATGTTTCCATCGAGAGAACATGTGAACATGTTGCTTGCCCTAACATTGTAGAAACACCCAACAGTAGGATGTTTTTTTCAGTTCAACAATCCCCTCTGCCAAGGAACCTAAAACAAATTTCAGGAATGAAGCTAGTACACTGAATAGTAGCATCCATTTGTTCAATTATTTATTGAGCCACTATTCTATTCCAGGAAGTATGCCAGGCACTGAAAATATTATATTGGGTGAAATAATCGTGGTGTTTGCCTTTTTTTTGGAGTTTATATTCTAATAAGTCTGTGTCATCTAAATATGGATTCCCCTAACAGTAATCAGCCTGTGCTGTAATCTATCCCTCACATTTCTAGGTTTTTTTCTATCACAGGTTGATATCCTCCTACTTCCCCTCCCAACTAACTCCACCTGAGGTAGAGGCGTGGTTTATTATTTCTTTTTCTTGTTGTCTTTTCTTTTTTGTTGTTATTGTATTGTATTTATTAATACATGCTAATTGTACAAACTGACAAATTCACTCTGATAGCTCCATACATACATACATATTGCATCAACCATATCCAATAGCACTTCTACTCTCAAGCCCCCTCCCCCAGCACCTTTCCTAGTCCTCCTCCCAATTTCTTTCAGTCTCTCCCTCCCTTTTCTCCAGCATCTACTATTCCATTCCATACAAGATTCACTGATTGTTTCCTTATACAAGTGAGAACATGTGGTATTTGTCTTTCAGTGTCTGTTTCACTGTTTGGTGTCTGATCATGAAGTGAGTTTCACTCATCAAAATGTTCTCCATTTGAATCCAAGTTCCAGCAAATGACAGGATTCTATTCTTCTTTATGGATAAATAGTAATCCATTGTGTGAATATATCATGTTTTCTTTATCCACTCATCTGTTGGAGGGCACTTGGGCGATTCCATAGTTTGGCTATTGTGAATCATGCTGCAGTAAACACAGAGGTACAAATATCTTTTTTGATATGAAGAGTTCAACTCCTTCGGGTTGTGGAATGGTGGAATTATTGGGTCATATGGAAGTTCTAGTTTCAGTTCTTGAGGAACAGCCATGCTGTTTTCCGTAATGGCTGTACTAATTTACGTTCCCAAGAATAACTAAGAGTTCTCTTTCTCTGTATTCTCACCAGCATTGGTTATTGCTTGTCTTTTTAATGATGGCCATTCTAAATAACTCATGGTTTTAATTTGCATTCCTCTGATGAGGCCCATAGTTATACAATTGTGTCTAGAGATAGAGGCCAAAGATAAATGCAAAACACTTCACTCAGAGTTCTTGCAACGACAGCTGCTTCTCTGGATTGCTGCATGGGATTCTCAGGAGGATTAGATGTGATGATCATGCAAAGACCCACTCCGTACATGTTCCGCCACACTGCAATTGCTTGCTATGATGATAATTGAGAATAACTCCCTAAAACTTTTAAGTCGCTTGCCTAAACTTCTTGGAATAGTCATACAAATAAAAAGAAATATTCATACTCCAGTTTCAGTCTCTGTCCCTAAATCTAGTTCTTACCTAAACAAATCCATGCATTTCCCCTTCTAATAGGAGAAACCAGGTAAGTTCTTTCTATATACACAAAGGAGCCTCACCTTTGACTTTATACAGGAGCATTATCACCCATAACTCACCAAGAACAAACCACTAACAAGGATTCAAAAGAACAAAGAATAGTGCCAAGTGACATTCCATATACCTTCAACTGAGGTCGAGCTATTTTTTACTAGAAGAAAATTTAGGTACCAGGCCACGTGAGATCAAAGCTTGCTCAGTATGCCTGTGTGCACCACTTGTAATGAGATCCCCTGGCTTATTTCTGGATTCTGACTCCATGCAGACCCACGGGATGAATATAGTAAGTCTCCTAGAAAATTAACCCAGGAGACAGGAGTTGCACAACAGAACTCCTCTGAGAGTCCCTTCCTAATCACGGAGTTTAGGAAGCAGCTCCCTTAAAGGCAAAGCCAACAGGGTCGGAAGGGCTCCGTGTGATTAGCACCTGGTGCCCCAGCCAGAGTCTAGTGGGATCTAAGTGATCTAATAATCTCTGGAGGCTAGCCTAGAACCTCATAAGGCTGAGCCTGTCTTTAACAAAAACTGACCATCAGGTTTCGTGACACTGCAGTAGTCTTTTGTAACCGTTTGATCTGTTCTTCAATACAAAGGAGCCCAGTCAGGTTCCATGCCCTCAAGAAGATGGGTGGGCATTTTTTCAGTCTAAGGAGGCTCTGTCCCAAAGAAGGACCATTCTGTGGTTTGTTGAAGTAGCTCATGTAATCATCCGTTTCTTACTAAGTTAACTCCTCCCTCCATGGTTTCTTAGATTTATTTTGTTTTAAATGAAAAAGGAAAAAAGGGGAGAGAAGAGGAGAGGAAAAAGGAATAGAAGGTCAAGGAGGGTCGGTGAGGGAGGAGAAAGTGGGGAAAGAAAGAATAAAAGAAAGGAGAGGAGAGGAGACGAGTGGGAATTCTGATAACAAGGCACCATCATTATTTCTTTAACTACACACAAAATTTAATTACAGAGACTTAGCCTACCTTGCATATTTTAATTCTTTTAATAAACAGATTGTTTCTAGGCAAAGATGTTGCATATAAAAAGATTGAAATGTTTTGGCATGTCCACAGTCTCTGGGATGATTTCTTCCCTTTGCAAATGGTATTTCCTTTTCACCCCCAAATTGTGTTTTCCCCCTCCACTTATTTTTCTTTTTTTTTTTTCCTCTGGTAGGAATATTGGCTTCATGACTAAGATTTTGATGCATGAGCACATTTCAGTGTTCTTACTCTCCCACAGGGTTTTTATCCTTCTGGAATGTATAAATCATTTTGAAAGCTCCTTTCTGTTCTATGCCGCGCTTTTGAGATTATCTACTGGTGTGTTCCTTACACAGAAATGCCCCTAGGGCTCCATCTCACACAAGGCCCAGTCTTGGGTGGCAGAAGGGCTGCTGTTCCTGTGCTCAGCTGTACTCACTTCTGGCAGAGCAGAGACTCAAATAGCTACCAGTAGGTTAAAAAAAAAAAAAGTGGTCTTCTGGTGCTAAAACAGTTGTTACCCATTGATCCATGTTCCAGATGCTGAGAGCTCACCCCGGTCAACCTTCACTGATAACGCCAACAGAGTTCTTTGGCTCCACGGCGCCCTTTGTGACCTTCTCCCTGCCCAAGGTGAACACTGCTGCTCCCTCATTGTTACCTGATTTCTTACGTGTCCAGCTACCCAAAGGCCAAGAAGAACTAGCAGTGGGATTTACTCCCACATCCCATATTTCCATCCCTCTCACCAGTACCTCCCTCACTTCTAGGAACACTAACAGCCTTGGACTTTGCATCTGAGCCACACTAACAGTTCGGGATTGCTTCTGCACCCCAGAAAGAGATGGGTTAAAAAGTGAGACAACTAGGCAGTTGCTCTTAATTGATGAGGGACTCTAAAACTTCTCCAGGTGTGTCACCAAGTGGAGGAAAATTTAGGTGAGCACTAAATTCTCAGAGTAATGTGATTGGAGAGAATTGGGAAGAATACTAGGAAAAATTGTGAGCAAGTATGAGCAACCATTTGTGCGGTGTAAATGGTCACTGAAGTGTACTCTTTGGAGAACAAATACAAATTGCTACAAGGCTTTTGTTTATTTTCCTCTTTGGGGAGGGTCGCTAAGTGAAGAAATGGGTTTTCCTTCATGCTCCTCAGAAAGGTGAAATGATAGCTTCCTAGTACATCACACCCCACACCTTTCCTCCATACACAATTGTACATCAAATACGAAATTTCTGGTTAACAGAGCATATATATGCCAGAGGTCCCCTATGATTACATCCCCCAGTGACAAAGTAGCTGCTCAGTTTGCATAAGTACACCCTATAATGTTCACACAATGTTATCACCTAAAAATACATTTCTCAGAATGTGCCCCAGTTGTTAAATGATTCATGACTGTAAATGCAAAACAATATGGAAAGAACATTGGTCTGAAAGGGCCACTGCGGCTCCCATTGCCCTTTGAATTCAATCTAAATGTACATCAAAGGCAATAAACTAAATTCTATTCCCATTTTGATCCTGGGCTTATGTACCTGGCCCACTGTGTTAGTCAGCGTTTCATTGTTGTGAACAAAAAAAACAACAAGAAGAGCATAGAGAAGGAAGAGTTCATTTGGCTCAGTTTCAGAGGTTCAGTTTATGGTCAGCCAACTCCTTGCTCTAGGCCCAAGGTGAGACACAATATCGTGGTGGAAGGGCTTGGCAGAGGAGGGCTGCTCCACTCATGGTGGCCAGAAAGCAGAGAGAGCAAAGGGCATGGTCCCAGTGACCTGCTTCCATCAGCCACGCCCCACAGATGTACTGTTACCACCCAGTGAGTCCATTAAAACTAGGACGGACTGATTAGCTTACGGCTCTCACAATCTAATCATTTCACCTCTGAATATTCCTACATTAACACAGGAGCTTCCCCGGGGGACACCTCGCATCCAAACCACAATGCCCACTTTCCCCACATCCAGTGGATCATTTGCCATCCTGTCTAGACTTTTATAACTTACTCAAAAAACGTAACATCATATTTACATGAAACATGTTCACGGCATCTGGGTGGCTGCTTTGGGGTGAAGCAGCACTTTTCAGGCCCTAAAATAAAGATACCAGGATTTTTTTTTTTTTTTTTTTTGCTCCTCTTGCCTCCATTTAGTTCAACGCTTCCTCTTCCCCAATCCAAATATGTCTACATTTTTCCTAGCTTAATATCTTCTTAACTCTATTCTATCACTCACTGCAGTAGGTCCATCAGGAACAGGAAAAAAAAGGCAGGTGACATCTGTTGTTCTCATCTGACGTATTAATAACATTGTTCTGCTTACTCCATATAATCAGGCTTTGGAAGCCAAGACTCTACTGGAACTGTGGCTAGAAATGTCCACAGTGGTCTCTTTTCTGTTCAGTCCACTCTCTGTTCTCACTGTCACTGTCTTTGACTTTTCCAATTCATAAATCATAATCTCATGCTTAAATTAAAATATTTTAAAATAAGAGTAATGATCATTACTGTAAATAGGACAGTGTTAAAAAGAAAAAAAAAAAAAGAAGAGTTCCCAATCATCTCATCCCCACCACAACGTGACTGTTGCCTGTGAAATGTGGCTGGTGTGACCGATGGACAGAATTTTTAATGTTACTCAATTTCATTTAATTTAAGTGGCTAGAACTGTTTAGTTCTGCCCCATCCTTTCTAGAACGTTACTTAGAGTTGCGCTGTCACTCTCCTTAATGGGTGCCTGATTGCTATCTCTGTGATCTTTTAATATAAACTACTTTAATTATAAGTGACATGTTCAATTATACTTGACTGTTTGCTTCCTTATTTTTTAAGATGGAGTCTTTTCCAAAAACACTCACAATGTTCCCTAAGTTGTGTTTCCCAGATTTAGAATGTTTGCTAAATCCCTAGAGGCCGTTAGTTAAATGTGCTAAAATCCTCCGACCTTATGCTTAAGTGAAATGCGTTTAGACCACTCTCTGACAGGTGGTGGCAATACCAGAATCCCTCACCAAATTTCCATCAAACGGGGTGTGCTTACAAGAGGGAAAGCAGGGAAGGATGGGCCTTGGGCTTCTTCTTCTTCTTTTTTTCCCCACATTCTGGATTCTACCCAGTGTCTGAGCTGCCCCTTTTTCAGCACCAAACCGTCGTCCAGTTCTCTCCACGATTCACAAAGAGATCGTCTAGAGTAAGGAATATCTTCACAGACTTCTGAGATCCTAGGCTGGAAAGACCCGGGTTCTTTTAAGAACTGGCTCTCTCTTTCTGATTTCCGTTCTGTGTCTTTGCTGTGTCTGCATCAAAGAAATACGACTTGTTAAAGAAGCTCCTGAGAGGTCGAGGCTGGGTCTAGAGGTCCTGAACATGCTGTAAGCTCTCCTCTGATGGTGCTTCTCAGGGTCAGGCCAGGAGAGATCTATACCGAGTGCCTAATAAGATGACGGGGGTCATGCCAGAAGGAGAGAGCTTCTCTCCTGAGGATGAAAGAGGCCCCTCCTACTGCCAGCAGACTACCTATGCTGCCAACTTTTAGGTGTAACCCCCCCTCCCCAATATGCTCTGCACTAGTGTATTAGTCAGGTTTCCAAAGAAACAGACACAGAATATATAGAATCATAAAAAGATTTATTAGATTGGCTCACACAGAGGCGGAAGAGTCCCGTGGTAGTTGTCCATAGGTTGGGGAGTCAGGAAAGCCTGGAGCTGCTCAGGCCAACAAGCTGAACCTCAGAAGGAGAAATAAGGCCAATGATTCGGTCTGAATCCAAAGGCCGAAAAACCTGGAGTCTGATGTCCAAGGGCAGCAGCAGGAAGAAATGAACCTGCTGGAGGAGAGAGAGAGAGAAAGAGAAAACAATGAGTCAGTCTCCCCTTCTGCTTTTTGCTTCCATCTGGGCTCCCAGCCTACTGAGTGGTGACACTAGAGTAGGTCTTCCCCACTCGGCTCACAGACAGGCCAATCTGCTCTATAAACACCCTTCTAGACACATGAGGACATGGGGCTTTACCAATTTTCCAGACATCCCTGAATCTGGTCAAATGGAGAAGCAAAATGAATCCCCATAATTTGTAACTACTTACATATCTTCAGACCTGTCCTTTGCAGAGAGAGGGTCAGAGGGAGTCGGAAAGTTCTGAGCAGGAAAGTGTAGCAATGATGAGAAGGTGGGTAGTCATCAGACCTCGTTTAACCTATTTCACAATAATAATAAATAATAATAAATCCATAATAAATAATCCTTCCCTGTCTACTTCTCCACACAGCTGCTCTTCCATCCGTCCCGGGGTTAGAGACAAAAGGTCTCTCCCACATTCTTTCTCAATCTAAATTCCCTCAAAAGCAGACAAACCACAGCCCACTTGTGCAATCAGAAGTTAAATGTCAGAGCTGAGCCCAAGAACAAGAGCTACAGGAAAGATGAGTCAGAAACTAAAGGAGAAACATCTCTTTCTCCAGTTCTGTTCCCTAGTGGTTCAACTGTGTGTCCAATTTTTAAATAAATATGTGTGCTTTTATTTTTTTTAAATAATAAGATATTGCATTATATGGTGGAAAGGTAGAGGACTTGGAGTTAGAAGGCTGTGAGTGTTCTGTACCCATCAATGAATATAATTCTTTTAATTCCACTTCACTGGCCATCAAAAGTAATTTTTTGATCTTTGTTACCTATTTATTTTGTGCAGACTATTATTGAGTGAAAATACTATGTTCCTTGCTTTCAGAAGCATCCTTCTCCCCACTCCCACCCAGACCATTAGTTGCTTTTTTATATGTGTTCCTGAAGCTCCTTCTGGGAAATTATATCAGTCTAAAGGTTTTCTCATTGTGTTTTCAGTTCTCGTTTCTGACACTGGAATCGAAAGCATTTTAGGAGTAGAAACTTGTTTTTCTCATTATTATGCACCATTCCTGGGACAGTGCTCTGCTAAATGGGTGCTAAATAATTAATCCCTCCCTTTATGGTTGAAGACCTACTATGTGCAATGCTCTACGTTTTGCTGCTATGATTTGATCAGTTAGATGCACCTTGCTGTCTTAGATCAGTCATGCCATTATAACAAAAATACCTGGGGCTGGGTAATTTAAAACAATAGAAAAAATTTTTTTTTCTCATAGTTCTGGAGGCTGTGAAGTCCAAAATCAAGGCACTGTCAGGTTCAGTGTACGGTGAGAGCTCAGTTTCTGCCTTGAGGATGGTACCTTATTGCTACACACTCCAGGAGGAATGAACAGTAGATCCTCATGTAGCAGAAGAAATGGGGGAACAGAAGGCACCCTAACTTGGTCCCTCTAGCCCTTCTATAAGGCTGCTAATTCCATTTTGAGAGTTCTGCTCTCAGGACCTAATTACCTCCTACGAGGCTCACTTTGTAATACTACCACATTGGAATTTAATTGGCTACATGAACTGTGGAGGGGTCATGAGACATCCCAGTCACAGCCCCTACTGTTGTTTCTGTCCTTGACATTTGGTCCTCACCTAAAGACAAATACAGAGCCTTAAGCAGATCCACAGTGGAAGGATCATGTGGGTCTGTTTTTCCACCTACCCTGGATTTTCTGCAAGCCAACTCTCAGCTGTTTAAAAACCTCTCTCATCCCCAGTGTTGATTTCGTCCCTTGCACTGATTAATCCCTTAGCAACCCAAACCCAAAAGCACTAGAGCTCTTTCCAAAAGGTCACGGATTTACCAAGAAAATTATTCCTATCCAGACTAGGATACAATCTTTGAAACTTACTTAAAAGAAATGTTGTTTTTTTTTTTAAATAGAGTGATGTTCCATATACCATCAAGAATCAGAACATTTCCTAATTATACTGTTGGCTAAATGAAAAATAAGTCCATTATAAGACCAGAAAATCCTTCTACACTTTTAGATTTCCAATTATACTCGAGCCTCTTTTGTTGCTAGGGTCCAAATACTTAAATTTCTGACCCCCTAATTTCCCAACCCCCTCTTTCTTTTGCAAGGAAGAACAGTGACGAGGCAAGAAAATGGACATGAAAACACCAACCCCCCAGGAAAATAAAAACCTTGATTGAGCAGAGCACCTAGCCTTGAAAAATGAGAAAAGAGGGAAAGCAGCAGATGAGTCTGAAGAATAGATAAATGGTAGATGTCAGATGAATCCAGCTTTTTAGAAACTCATCTTTGAAGAGTACAGGAATTCCAAAACAGCATAGCAATAGAGTGTAAAGAAGGCAGTAACATTTATTGAGGATTTACTACAGGTAAGCACTATGCTAAGTGCATTATTTCACTTAATACTTCAATTTCATACTGTGTGGCACTTTAAAACCATCTTCAAATATAATGTCCCTACTTGATCCTTCAAATAACCTTGCAAAGTATGCACTTATAGCCCCACTTTTTAGTAGTGAATGGTAGAAAAGTTGACTGATTTGCTTCATGTTACACAATGGTAATTGATAAGAATTGATACCAACATCGACCAGCTAACTTCAAACTCTTTATGCTTTTCACTATATCACCACCATCTCTCATCCTTGATCTTCCTGAAAGACATATCTTCCCCATTTTGAGTTACTCTGGTCTCATCCTGGACATCCTTTCTACCAAAAAAAATTCTTCCTTTGGGTGTGGTACTGCATTCCTGTAATCCTGTAATCCCAACTGCTGGGGAGGCTGAGGCAGGAGGATCCCAAGTTTCAGGCCAGACTGGGCAACTTAGCAAGATGCTGTCTTCAAAATAAAATAAAAAGAGCTGGGGATATAGCTCAGTGGTAGAGCTCCTCTGGGTTTAGTTCCCAATATCAGAATTTTTTTTAAAAAAAGTCTTCCTTAAATAAGTTATTGATACTTCACCTATGAACCCCCACATTCTAAGCTTGTCTCTGCCTTGGCAATGTATCCAAATTGCTATTTCCAATTCTGCCTCCCTTCTCACACAACACACCCTTCAGGAGGAAGACCGCTTCTGTAACCCCAGTGCCTAGACAGTTCTTGACATAAGACACACCTCAGTATGTTGTTTGTTAAATATAAAACTGAAAGGCATAATGAGCACATTTGTAAAGGCTTCCTGATGACTTGGTGAGTTGACAAGGAGTGTCCATTGCTCTGCTGTCCTGTGGAAGCACCCAAGCTTTAAGATGGCAGATTTTGTCCTTTTTGTCAAGAGCTCACAGAAATCTCCTGCTTCAGAAATTTCATATTTCCCTTTCATGATCTTTTTGTCTCTTGGTTTTGTAATACAATCTGTCATGTTGCTAAGCTGTCAGTGTGCTGAACTATAGCAACGACTTTTCTTTCTCATGGGCTATTTCCAAACTGGTAAAGTAAGTAAAGCAGATGAAAATATAAAACTACCTGATTACATATAGAATTACCTGTAAAGGAGAGAGAGAGAGAGAGAGAGAGAGAGAGAGAGAGAGAGAGAGAGAGAGAGAGAGAATGAATTGCATAGAGGTCAAGAACAAGGATCTACAGAGTCCCTGCATTCTAATTTTGACTCTGCCACTCACTAGAGTTCTATCTTCTCCATGCATCTATTTCCAGAATTATAAAACAGGGTAATGATAGTATCTAGGGAGGTAGATGTCATTTTACCCATCATCATAGGTTTTAGAAAGGTTAAGTAAACTGCCATGTAGTTAGTAGGTAGTAGAACTGCCCGCCTAACATCAAATCCTGTATTTCTACCATGCCACAGAACCTGGGAAAAACAGATAGAAAGACACATACTATATCTCCACAGAGATGTAGGTATGTGTAAGCATGGATATATGCACATCTACATGGCTCTGTACAAATACCCACATTAGTCCATTTGTCAAAAGTACATTGTATGCAGACACCTTGTAGACACTGAGGCTAGAGTGGTGATTAGGATATCATAGCCCCTGCCTAATAGAGAAGCCGAGGAGTTCAAAGATGAATCAAGTTTTTACAATAAAGTGTGATACATCTTACGATGGGATAAATATGGGATGTTATAGAAACACACGTTGGTGGGTTCTAATAAAATAAAGGGGCTGGGAAGAGCTATCAAAAGAAGTAGTTTAAGCTTAAAACTTGAAGATTCAGTAGGAGTCCGTTGGATGACACTCTCTGCAAAAGAGTCTGGGAAGGGAATATCAAAAGTATATTCCAGGCAGCAGACACAGCAATTGCAAAAGAAAGCAAGATACTCATTTAAATTATGGAAAGTTTAAAGAGCTGGGTCATAGGCAGGAGAGCAAGTGGAGAGATGGTAATAATCACATAATGAATGAGTTTATAAGCACACTAGAGAGTGCATATTGTAAAGACAATGAAGAGCATTTGTACATCATTAAGTAAGAGCAATGACATGATTTTACTTCTCATCCTGAAAACTCACCTTGCTAGCAGAGGGGAAAACAGATTATCAATGGGGAAGACTGGTTGGGAAGCTATTTTGAGACTAAAGAGACAGGCGATGGTGAACCAGGCTTGGGTGGAGGATGAGAGAAATTGACTGATCTAAGAAAACTGTAGGAGCTAAGATTGATGTTTCTTGGTAAGCCACTGTGTTGCATAGGCCACTGGGGGTACAGTTATCCAACACAAGGAATGGCAAGAGAGAAGCAACTGGGGAATAAGGAGACACAATGAGCTGCAATTGGGACATGTACAAGTTGAAGTGACTGCGAAATATTCAAATGGAGATATCTAGGAAATACTCATAGATTTGGAATTTGGGATAGTGGTCTGAGCTAGAGATGTATTTAGGAATCACAAATATATAGATAGCAATTTTTAAAATGTGAATAAATGAGTTTTCCCATGGAAAATGGGCAGAAAATCAGAAGTGCCCCTAAGGTAGAATGCTGAGGAGCAGCTAATGAGATGGAATCTGAGGAGAGTAATGACAATAAAAATGAACTATAAGAAGAACAAGATATGGGAAGAAGAGGGGCTCTCTGCACTAGTTTTCAAGATCTTTAATGATCAAGAGGTACTAATGCCCCCTGGTAGATAGAAGAGGGAATGGGGATGTTAAGACCCTCAGATTTTCTCAGAAGAGGATATACAATCAATCAACAAGTATATGAAAAAATGTTCATCATCACTAGCAATTAGAGAAATGCAAATCAAAACCACTCTAAGATTTCATCTCACTCCAGTCAGAATGGCAGCTATTATGAAGACAAACAACAACAAGTGCTGGCGAGGGTGTTGGGAAAAGTGTACACTTGTACATTGC